AACAATCAGCCTCTACGATCAAGAGGAAAACAAACGACAAGCAAATACAAATATCAATTTCGACGCGGTCCACAGTAGTTTGCAGAATATAAAAGAACTATTATTTTTATTTTTACACACTGACCAAAATGAAAATTGATTTCACGTAAGAGTAAAATAATTGTTGGACGCCGGATTCGTTGGACAGGCCTGGACAAAACGATCGACAAATTGCTCTCTTTTCTAACGACGTGTCTTTTCGATGCTTTTCTATTTTTTAATCTATCCGACAATTCGTACTTATCGCAAAAACATTTACAGGAAAAATAATGAAAACAAAGACCGCCCAACGGTTCTGCGGTGGCCAACAAAATCGCTACTTTTATCTACTCGCATCGACTACTATTCTACTGCGATACATATACATATATATCCAACAACATTTTACACTATTATAATAGTACCATTTATTGTAATTTAATAGAGTATGGTAATCTAATTGAGCCTCGATGGTGGGAATCGCTTGAAACGGTTGGAACGCCCACCTAAAAAGCTCTAATGAAAAAGTGACTGTGTGTTTTTTATATGTATGCCTACTTTTTACTGACAACGTTTTTATTCCAATATTTTTATTATCCTAGTATTGTTGCGAGACGATGCTTTTACAGCTTGAACGTTTTTTTCTTTCTTTTTTTTAAACAACGGATCAGTATCACTGTTATTCAAAGTGCATTCGTTTCTTTTTATATTTGATAAAAATCAATGTACCAACTGCCTGGTCCCGCTTAAACAAACAAGCAGGCATTTAGAAACGAAAAGTGTCGACAACTTTAGCAACGATTCACCAACGATACGCGTCTGTTACGATGACTCGATTCATTCATGAATTTTCATTGGGAAACAGCCAGCCTAGTTCTTTGACATTCTAGTAATTCTATTTCTCTTGGCGAACGTTCGTTTAAAACAATTCTATTTTCGAACTTGTCGCGGAATAAAAGAATCTCTGATTTCGTAACGAGTACTGTTTAACGATTAACGAAGACAATGAGTTTCTCTGTCGAACCGAGTACATGTATTTTCAAACGTTTATACACGGCAAACCATTTTATAATCGACCTTTATATCATACGATCTATTGACGAGTGGAGATTTGAACGACTGCATGTGAGAGGTTACACGTTAGCGCAATTGGTTTGTTGAATCAGAACGAACGGATGTTCGAATGTTGAAAGCGACAAAGATGAAATATCTCGTCTCGTCGGAGATGCTGGGAGTACTCGAGATTGTACCTCGAGCGACAAAAAAATATTTAAAAAATAAAAGAAGAAGATGAAGAGGAAGAAGAGGAAGAGGAAACGAATTGAAAAATAGCTCCGGAATAGAGCGCGTTGATGCAGAGTTGAAATGCATATCTCTCTGAAACGATTGGAACAATTTTTATGTAGCTCGATTCTGTTAGAATTTGATACTAGCTCTGTATTACCAATATTATCTATATTATAAAGAATAAAAAAAAAAGATCACTTTTAAGCTAGAGAAGTTGCGGACGAGGGGGAGCTATACATATTATATATATAAATATAAATATAAATAAATGAGTAAATAATTAAAGTAAGCCGATGACGCGCACTCTTCCGCGGCTCGTTGTTGTCGACGTGACGAAAAAATGATGTAAGAACTATTAAGAATTATTGACTATTACTAATACTACTGCCGTATCGAATCTCTCAGTCCAACGGGTGCGTGAGTGCTCGTATAACTCATAAAGAACATATATATCAGTCTGCTAACGGGAAGATGAGACAAAGACAACAAAAAAAGATGAAGATGATGAAGATGAAGTTGAAGAATGGAATAGATAAAAGCGGAGAAAAATGGTTGAATGTGGATCTGCATATTTTAAGACATCTTTTGAACACTTGTGAGAGAGAGAGAGAGAAAGAGAGAGAGTAACTGATTCCGATATAAACAGTTAAGTTGAACACGACGATAAAATAATCCTCCACGCGAGAGAACATGGTACACACTTTTATTCACATACCTGCGACGATACACATCATACTGTATATTTTATGTAAGGCTTTAAATGTTTCATCAAATAACTCTATTATATTATAATATATCTATATATTTGTATCGATCGTTTTCCCTATCCTGGATCATTCGTTTAGGTTCGAAGATAGTTGTACGGTAATTGTAATCAATATCCGGCTCACCAACAGCTTTATAGCATTTTTTGAATCAGCCTTGGTCGCCAGTGGATCCTTCTAGAATGACCGTTACTATTTCCAGATTATATTTCTCATATCAGATACAGATCACAGGGTGTTCATGATGTTATTGCTCGCTTCTTGGTAATCGATCTTGGAAATCACTGATTGAGAGCTTTCGCAGAGAAAGTAATGGATTGAATGTTCAGTAGCTGTGATTTTCTCTGCGGGTAATACTGTTATTCTTACAGAAAGAATAGTTTCTTCGAGCCCGATGTCTGCCAGTGGTTTGCAAGAGTAATCTTAGCAATATGAACATTCTGCGTACATGATTTGGAGTATTAATTGGTATTCTCTGTATTGTAACAATGGAAATAGACAATGTAACTGCGAACAAGGCTGCTTTGAAACTTCATGTAATCGCCAGGCCTAGCAAATCATTACAACATAATTGAATAACCCCTATGGAAATCAGCTGGCCGGTTGTTAATTACAAAACATTGTTTTCGAACCTCTACCCTTGAACCTTATTCAGAGTTATTCCAGCACCGTTTATTGTACTGATCACCGTATCTTTCTGGAACTTTACAACTTGCTTTCTGCCTTTGCGAACCAGAATAAGGCTGAAGATTTTCAGTACTTACCTGTTGAGTTGCTTAGGGGTACGAGTCCAAACAAGATCCAAGTGGTAGAGTTCTGAGGATTAGTTGATTTATTTACAACAGAACACGTCATGCGTTTGGCTCAGAAATGTGCATTCAAGAGACATCATCCACGTGTTACACGATGCAAATATAAAGAATCTCACACGGTTCACCTCTGATGAAAAACTGCCATGAACAACTGATTGTCGCATACGGGTCCTTAACCACCATTCAAATGCATTTGCACTCTACATGGAACACACACAACAAACGAAAAAGGAAAGTGACACATTTCTGTGCTTTTTTTTTGTAAATTACAACTGTTCTGATGCAATCTAACAAACAAAGGAAAAAAGAAAAAAAAACAAGGATTCACCGATAATAGGACCAATAAAGTCATTCCGTATTTTTTTACCTTTTTACGTTTTTTCGTTCGTCGAGACCTACATCGTGGGAGAACAGGACGTAATAGTTTCGCAACGTGATACATCATATAATTATGTGTAAAATTGTAAAATTCGTCTTGGAGGTCCGGGCGAAAGGCCATCTGTTTTCTTTAAATATAAACAAATTCTTTTGAGCCCTCGAAGGTCGCTCGTGAAGGAAAACAAAAACATTTTTCGCCCGCTCTCCAAAAGCTCGATATATAGATTGTATTTTTGGCTTATTATTGTAAGACTGACTATGTTGCTATATTAAAGATTGCTTCGAAAATATCCTGCGTTCGTATTTCTTCGTTTCCATGTCTCCCCATAATTCACCCCATATTCCCTTCAATATTTTCTTCGGTTTTGTAAATTAAAAAAATTTTTTTAATTTCTAGTTGGATAATTTTGGACAGTTGAACGATACAAGGCAGATGAAATATTCTTTTATTATTTATTCGTATAAAGGTTATAAAACATAAAAATATATTTAATACACGTTAATCGCTGTTTCCTCTTCGCTAGTTGAAACATTCGGACGGATTGGCTCGAGCAGGAAACAGCTCTTTACAAGGGTTAAATTCATGAATAATTTAACATGCAAATAAGTATGTCCCTTTCGAATAAAAATATATTCATAATTGATATTATGAATCGTTCAGTAATAAAAGAAAACTCGTTGCTATATGCGTTTGCGAATGAACGAGATATTAATAATAAATGATATTATTTATTATAAAGCAGACTTTTTTTATGGACGGTATTATTAATGTTATGTGTACTGTGATATTTGTACCAATGAGTTTCTCATTGTTTTTGTTTAGATCCATATTTATGTCTATGGCGTTTTTAGTAAATTAAAAACTGGAATGATATATTTTGCATCTTCTATGAACAAATGGTTGATTACCTATTGGTACAATTTTAGATATGCAACCAAGTAATTTATTGCTTTTATGATGATAAACTGGAATATTTTCTTGGTACTTGATCATGAATAATCATGTTGTAAGTCTTCCAAATATCACTCACATAACACTCGCTAGATCTTACTTATCAGCTAATATTATAATATAATAAGTGCTATAATACTAAAAATAGATCTTTGATGGTCAAACAGGCAAAAGTAACTATACAAAAGAATAAAATTTCTCTTTGTAGAGGCAAAGACAATTGAACGAATGCCTCCTTAGGGAAACGTATGGTAAAACATTAATGTTCAGAGTTCTTTCTAACCTACTATTTACAGATTGCCAATAAACAGCAACTTTTCTTAATCGGAATGTATCCTTTGATTTATAAATTGACAGTGTTCGAGGAGTGTCATGAAGGCACAATTTGGAAAATCATCAATATACAGTAGGAAAATCTTAACGAACCTAAACAACCAAATGGCGCCCAACTGTTTTAGAAATATGACTTCATACAGTGAAAAGTTGCAGGAAAGTTAATGTGACGTTCATGTACAAACTATATAATCAACAGCAATAATTTCTATTGAAACGAATAATTGTTGAGAGCTACGAACTGTCGATGAAATTAAACGCGAATTATTATAAAACTGATTCAGCGAATTTGAATGGTAATATCAACTCATTACTGCTAAGAAGAGCTATAGGAGTTTTCCTTTTTGGTGTGACAGGCTTACCGCGAGAAATCTCGATTTCGACTAAGTTTCATTTGTACTTGAGATTCTTTGCCTCCTGGAACACACTGTTCTAACTATACAACCAGTTCCCGATTTCTAAAACGGCGAAAACATCTGAATAAATCCATATCCATCGACTAACAACTTTAAATTACAATAAAATATCGAATACTTTAGATAAAAGGTGTATAAAAAATATGTGTTCCAGACCCGACGGGTCGAGAGATTCTACATTTGTGCGCTAAATATAAACATTTTCGATATAACAAATAGTAAATGGACGGTACAGAAGTATTCCCTTCTCATAACTAGGCCGATCAAAAGTGCTTCAAAGATAAAAGCGATTGGAACCATAAAAATGTCTAACACATTAATGATCTGAATTTTTTACAGATACCGGTTCCAACTTTGCACCAAAGTACTTCCACTCAGGAGTTACAAATCGTTTGTTCCCTACGAAGTTAATAATAACCATACCTTTTTACATATTTACGAAC